TTCTGATGACACTACAATTTCTTTGAAGTATTTTAAAAAATATTTTATTTATTTATTTGTCAGAGAGAGAGAGCGAGCGAGCACAACCAGGGGCGAGTGGCAGGCAGAGGGAGAAGCAGGCTCCCCGCTGAGCAGGGAGCCTGATGTGGGACTCCATCCCAGGACCTGGGATCATGACCTGAGATGAAGGCAGATGCTTACGCTTAACCAACTGAGACACCCAGGTGTCTTTCTTTGAAGTGTTTTTATGCTCCCTGCATTGTCTCTGGTTTTTTGGGGGATTCCTTTTCTCTCCCTGATTCTTATATGTTGAAGGTTTTTTTTTTCTATTTTTTCTTTCTTTATTTTTTTATTTTTTATAAACATATAATATATTTTTATCCCCACCAGGGATGTTGAAGGTTTTTAAAATTTTTCATGTTGAAGTTTTCCCTCTGGTATCTGGTGATTTTTATCATTCAAATTTTAAGAGTGAGGTCCTAAAAGCTGAGCAGATGCCCTGATTTGTGTCTGAGTCTTGTTAATTAAAGGCTTTTCCTTTGGGGACCTCCAAATGTCAGTATTTGTGGCTCTTTTTTTCTGGCATGGTTCATTTTTTTCTTTTATTCTTTGCCAGAGAGTAGAACTTGGTGGCAGAGTTCTGTGAGCTGGAGAAGCAGACTGGGTGCCTCATTTTCTGTTTCAGACTTAATTCCTCTTTTCTTTCAGTCAGATCTATGCCTTGTGTTGCCACAACTATAACTCCTTTGGGTTACTTTCTCCAAAGGTGGCATTTCCTGTTTCCAGTGGAGGTAAAAGCAGTAGCCTGATTCTATCAGGTGGAATGGCAACGTGGGGGATCTGTCCATTTATTAAACGGATTTTCAAACAGATCTCCTTTTCAGCATTACACCCCTCCCATCTCCATTCTAACTTCTCTCTGCACTTTACCTACTCCTAGTTCATGAGTCTTTCCAGGGCTCCTCAGGGTGATCCGCCTTGCTTCTCCTTGGTTTCTCCTTCTCCAACCACTTAGGCCTGACTAAGTCTTTCACCCGCCTCAATCCATTTTCCATTTTCATGCATTGTGGTTTGGGGTGACTACCAGTTCAATAAAGATGAAACCTGTATTTTCTTTTCCCTCCTTGTTATTTTTGGGAGTAGCGATATGGGGACTATCTCAGCTATCTTGGCCAATTCCAAGTCATCTTTTCGGTCCCTGCTTAAACATCATTCCTAACCCAGACTAGGTTAGGTCCACTCACTGTAATTTAGTCTCAAATACCTATCATGATTCTAATTAAGTATATACGTCTGCCTCCCTTGCTAGACCATTACCTCCACCAGAGAAGGGACCATTTCTGTCTTGCTGACTTCTATATCCCTAGTGTATAGTGCAATACCTAGCATTTAATAGGGGCTATATACATATATTTTAAGGATTTTTTTTTAATTTGCCAGAGAGAAAGAGTGAGAGAGCACACAAGCAGGGGGAGCGGCAGGCAGAGGCAGAAGCAGGCTCCCTGCTCAGCGGGGCTTGATCCCAAGACCCTGGGATCATGATCTGAGCCAAAGGCTGATGCTTAACCGACTGAGCCACCCAAGCATCCCTAAATATATATTTTTCATTGTTGATCAACATATATTATTCATTTTAAAGATTTGTAGCTAGGGGCACCAATCTGGCTCCATCTGTAGAGCATGTGACTCTTGATCTTGGGGTTGTGAGTTCCATCAAGCCCCATGTTGAATGTAGAGATTACTTAAAAAAAAAAAAAAGCTGGATTTACAGTTGATACCACCAATAAGTATTTAAAGTTTCATGATCTTAGTTATGATTGTCTAGTTATTGTTATAGAAACACTATCAAATGACTCTTGTCCATTTCCAAACTTACTTTACATGGACACTTTTAAGATCATAATGTACTGATAGTAATATGCACTCAGATCAGCATAGTGTATAAATTTTCTATTTCTGCTGCTATAAATTACCAGAGACTGAGTGACAAAAACAACACAAATTTATTAGCTTGTAGTTCTGGAGGTCTGAAGTTTAAAATGGGTTGGCAAGGCCGCCTTCCTTCTGGAGGCTCTAGGGGAGAATCCATTTCCTTGCTTTCAGGTTTTTTTCTTTAGCTTCCAGAGGCTGCCTTTATTTCTTGGTTCATAGAACCTTTCTCACACACTCTGACCTCCGCTTTCATTGTCATACCTCCTTCTCTGACTCTGACCTTTCTGCCTCCCTCTTATAAGGACCCACGTGATTAAGTTGTGCCCAGATAACACAGGATGATTAGGTATTTCTCAATAGCTTTAACTTAACCACATAAAGAAAATCCATTTTGCCACATAAGATAAAATACCCACAGGTTCTGGGGGTTAGGATGTGAACATCTTTGGGGGACGGTTATTCAGCCTACTACACATAGACAGCAGAATGTAAATCCATACATGAATTAGTTGCCGCAAGAAATGATAAAACTTCCCTCATATATACTTTAAACTTTGAATCAGAACAGCCTCCAAACAAAGTAGATAACATAATTTATTAAGTGAAAAATATCATAAATATGTATTGAAATAATAAGACAGTAAACCAATGATTATTAAATAGACAAATACATCATCAGCTCAGTAGCTGCCTTGCTTCCATGTGCATATCCATTATTGTCCTTTCATGAATCCTGGGATTTCCTGGTGTTTCAGGTAGGCACACCATTTCCTAAAGGCAATTACCTAATTATACAAACAACTATAAAAAAGAGCATAGTGTTTTTTCTTACATATATTAAAAATAAATTTTAGATGGAAAAACATAATTAGCATTGATTATTTTTCAATAAACACCTCTTAACATCCTGCAGAATTGCTTGGGAAAAATTATAATAAAAACCTACTTGGGTAAAACCAATTCCAACATTCTTAATTGTTTATTTTGAAAGACCGTGGTTAGATATTTCCTTCTCAGTTATCTAGCAATGTCATGTGAATACACAGTTCAAAATGACAATTTCACAAGGGGCTGATGGGAAAGGCTATCAGCTGGCTCTTTCAGATAAGAACCTCACTCTGGGAGTGCCTGGGTGGCTCAGTCAGTTAACAGTTTGCCTTCAGCTCAGGTTGTGATCCTGGGGTCCTGGGATTGAGATCCACATTGAGCTCCCTGCTCACTGGGGAGCCTGCTTCTTCTTCTCCTGCTGCACAACCCCCCATGCTCTCTATCATTCTCAAATAATTAAATAAAATCTTAAAAAAATACTGTAACTGTATCTTGACCGTCAACTTTGGCTAATTTAGTAATTTAATAATTCTATTCAGGGCTAATTTGGCTGTGCTATATTAGCTGGAGAGCATGTCCTTTTTCCAATGGAAAGTGTACTTGAGAAATCAGATTAGGATTAGAAGGTTGTCTGATGCATATAGTTAAAATGCCAAACTGTTAAAATAGATGAAGGGGATTAAGAAGAAGAAACTTTCAGTTATAAAATAAAGAAGTCACAGGGATTAAAAAAAAAACAACTGTCAAGCTTCCCAAGGTATCAAAAAGGCCCAGGCACCCACAGCCCTTCAAAGCATAGCTCCCTCTTCCCTCATCTGGCCCACATTATAAAAATCAAAATATTCAAGTAGCATTCTGCTCTGGAAAATGTAGTAAATTTGAAAAAGAATGAGTCAGAATTCGACTTGCTGATTCCCACCCCCTCTTGGTTTGCATAGCTGGGATAACTGCTCATTGCTTTTCTCTCAGTCGTTTGTTTTTACTTCTTGCTTCTTTGTCTAAAGTTGGAATGCAGCCACTAGCCACATGTAGCTATTGAGCACCAGAAATATGGCTAGTCCAAATTGAGATGTATTATAATTGTAAAATACATACTGGATTTTGAAGATGTACATTAACAAGAATATAAGATATTTCAGTAATTTTTATATTGATTAACCATTGGAATAATAATATTTGGATTTATTTTGGAATATATTTGGGTAAATATATCATTAAAGTTAATTTTACATGTTTCTTTTTATTTGTTTCGTGTAGCTGCTAGGAACCTTAAAATTACATATGTGATTCACATATTTTTATTGGATAGCATTGATCTAAGGCACCCGAAGTCCTCTCCTGTTACTTTCTTTAGTTGTTCTTTATTGTCTGACTTCTATTTCTTTCATTTCCATTAAACTGCTTAGATTTAGAGGGTAAACTACAAAGTGAAACTGTGGCCAACCTTTAAAGATTTTCTTTTAATTTATTTATTTGACAGAGAGATCACAAGTAGGCAGGCAGAGAGAGGGGGGAAGCAGGCTCCCCGATGAACAGAGAGCCTGATGTGGGGCTCAATCCCAGAACCCTAAGATCATGACCTGAGCTGAAAGCAGAGGCTTAACCCACTAAGCCACCCAGGCACCCCTCAACCTTTAAGTCAAGAGAATTCAAGTAAACAATGAAAGTCTTAGTTCAATTCTTCAGGGTATTGGTTTGGTGCTGCCATATTAGAAAAAAGGTGTAGGGGCGGGAGAACAGTCTTCATTAGAGTTTGTAGAGATGGACTATGGACCATGTGTAGAGATGGACTATGTGTACATGGGGAATTAAAGAAAGAATACAAAATCATGTACATGCAAAGAAGTAGGACAAAAATATATTTCATCTCCAACCCTCCCCATCTCTAGGCTTTAAATCTATTTTCTTTTGACTATGCTATTTTGTCTGCATTCTTCTATGCATACTTATTTAGACTACTCTCTTGGTAGAATGTGGCTATTGAAAAAATGAAGAAAAACTCCCTGGAGATGAGGATGTGAAGTGGTTGCAGATCTAAAGACCAACAATATAGAAAGATGTTTATTTAAGTTGAAAAAGACCTTAATTACTCTGTTCCATTTTCCACTCAAAACCATAACCCTTAGATATATAGAATAAAAGCTGTTTGTATTGTTAGAACACCAGTACTCATCAAACATACTGAATATATACTGATGGGGGAAATTTTCTGAAGATGTATTTTTCAACAGGGAAAAAACATGAAGAAAAAACATGATACCATTGTTTGTGAACCTAAAGAACTTCTGAATGCCAAAGTAACAAATTGTTGCAAATCCCTGTGGGTGAAATACAGTTTTCAGAAGGAGTACATGACCTGACTTGTCAGCTTCTAGCCAGTTTCAGCCATGTCAAGGAACCCAGGTAAGATATTATTTGCATTAAGCTAAGATAAATATTCTACTTAGCATGTGTTTTTCTTGGTATTGAGGACATAAAATCGGGCCTTAAATAGATTAATTAAACATTAACTGTAAGAAGATAGTGGTCAATCTATTCATCAATGTTCTTAGGTGGTAAAAATCTAAAACTGACATTGCCTCATAAATCTCTTAGTGTCTGTTAGCTCTAAATTGTTGATGTGACAACTCATTAAGATGATCCCAAATTAACTAAAATAGATCAAATTTGCCTTCTAATAGAGATTTGTCTTTAACTTGACCGGACAAAGTCAACATTGTTAAGTAGAGAAAATTCAGTTTCGGTTCCTCTTTGATTTTGCCAGTATAGGAAAGAACATGAAGGAAATATAAACATGAATTTTTGTTTTGCAAAAATTTGCATGATTCCTAAATGTCCCTGAGTTTGGAAAATTAAAGTCTCATGTTTTGAAGGGCACTAGGGTGTTGGGACTAAAGAAGCTAAATTTATGGGTTTTAGACTTTTAGATTAAGAATATGCTAGATAAAAAGAAAAAAAAATAAGCTAGATAGGGGCGCCTGGTGGCTCAGTGGGTTAAAGCCTCTGCCCTTGGCTCAGGTCATGATCTCAGGGTCCAGAGATCCAGCCTCGCATTGGGCTCTCTGCTCAGCAGGGAGCCTGCTTCCCCATCCCCTTCTCTCTGCCTGCCTCTCTGCCTACTTGTGATCTCTCTCTGTCATAATAAATAAAATTAAAAAAAAAAAAAAAGAATATGCTAGACACCTGGAGGAATAATTAAAGCTAATCTCAGACTATTCTCCAGTTTTAAAAGAATAATATGCCACTGAGAAAGTGGACATTCAGGCATGGTGATCGCCTCTTGCCACATATCAAATATGGTACATTTTCCAGAAATAACTGGATTGACTAAAATAACTGAGTTTTGATCTGTGCAGGTGTCAACAATGATTTCTCAAAGCCTGAGATTCTGTCACCTATGAATATATCTTCTAGAACATAGATTTTTTTTTTAAATTGAGATGTAATCTGTACACCATAAACTTCAAACTTTTAAAGGGCAAAACCAATGGTTTTAGCATATTCATCAAGTTGTGTGATCGTTTTCACTATTCTGGAACTTCTGTTTTATTATAAACTTTTCCCAGTGTTTCCACACTCAACTATACCCTTTGAGCCTCACAGAGCCCTCCTCAAGCAACTTCTGAGGTTCCCTGTGGCCGGTTGCCATATTTAATCCAAATTAGAGTTTCACCTCAAAAGCAGAAGCAGGGTGAAGAATAAAGCCCCTACGTTTGAGTTATACAGTAACAGCCAACAATCTAATTTGCGTTTGTTTTCGCACCTAGAACTCTCGTTTTACTCTGTATGCGAAATCTTATTTGTGACAGGAATTTTAGTCGGGGGCGGGGGACGGGCCACCGGCGTGTTAGAAAAACAAGGGATCCGTCAGTGTGAGGTGGGAGCAGACACAAGCCCTCCACCACCCTCTCACTCTCTTCCCGGCTCAGGAAGCGGCGGCGCGTTTGTCCCCTCTTATTTTCGGGCATTTAGAGGCGTGGAGACAGAAGGGGCCCTGAAGGTGTCAGAACGGCGTCAGGAACGCCCAGCCGCAGGGTAACGGGAGGCTCGGGGCAGTGTATTCCGGGTTTCCAGCCTCCGAGCTCCCGTGAGCGCGCCGGGGGCCAGCAGCTAGAAGGCGCTTCCCAGACGGCGCGGGAGACCGATTCTGGCCGCAGCGACCGCCGTGTGTGCCCCTCATTGGCCACAGCGGGACCACGTGACCTCTGCCGCCAAAATCGCCGGCTGGAGCGCGAGCTTTCCCGCGGGACAGACTGCCGGTGCGGCCCACGGCTTGCAGGTCCCGCGAAGGTCGGGGAGGTCGCGCAGAGGATCTGCGGAAGCTCTCTGGTTGGGAACCCTAAAGGGAAAAAAAAAAAAAAAAAAAAGCCTTAAGTACTGCTTCACCTAAAACTCCCACTGAGGAAACTGATCACTGAAAGGTCCCCTTATGCCCCCTTTGCCTCTTGGATACAGACTAAAAGTGGAAATCCCCAGTCTTTAGCGACTCGCTGAAGCCAAAATGTCTCGGCTACTTTGGGGAAATAGACACGTTTGAAAGTATAACTCTTTGGAGAAAGAAAACACAATTTCTGTCAGGGGAATTTTTTTTTTTTAAGGTTTTATTTATTTGACAGAGATCACAAGTAGGCAGAGAGGCAGGGATGGGGTGGGGGGAAGCAGGCTCCCCGCGGAGCAGAGAGCCCAATGCGGGGCTGGATCCCAAGACCCTGAGATCATGACCTGAGCCAAGGCAGAGGCTTTAACCCACTGAGTCACCCAGGCGTCCCTGTCAGGGGAATTTAAAACCGCTTTTTAAAAGAAAATTTGAGGAGATGCGTAGGATCTTGGGAAATCCGGAGAAACCACCCTGATAGGTCGTTTAAGGGAAATCAGAAACTCTGGGGAAAACAAAACATAATAAGAGCAAAAAGAGGGCTTTTCCACTTCTAAAAATGTAATAATTACTGGTAGGAAAGGGTAGAATTATGTATATGTGTGTGTCTGTACGTATGCGTGTGCATGTAGGTAGTATAAATGCGATATATTGATTGTAGAAGTCAGTAGAGAATCCAGTTACTCAGCCTCTTTCTCCCTCAGAGAGTGGATTGGATGCTCATTTTGCCCCTCTCTCTTTTCTTCTAAGTCTCAAGTGTCCTCTTTCTCCAGAGGAACACATTTTCTTTTTTTACAAATTAAAAACAAAAACAAAAACAAAAACCAGGGTCTACTAAGTTCCAGACGCTGCTAGGTACTGGGGTGACAGTGGTGAGCAAAAACAAACAATCTCTTCCGTCCTGGAGCATATGGTCGGGTAAAGGAGGCAGATAGGTCCAGATGCTATAACGGGGCTTTGATCTAGCAGGGAGTTGAGAGAAGGCTTCCCTCAAGATTAATCCTGGACTGAGATCTGAAGGAGGCAAAGGGAGCCTTTTGGGCAGGGGAGAGCTGATAGTCTCTCCTCTTCCAATGACTGCCCATCTCTCATTTCCACTACACATAAATTATCTTGGCCTCTAAGTTACCAAAGACACTTCTTTTTTCTTTTAATTGTTAAGTTCTTAGGGAGTAACTCATAACTAATAATTACTGTTATAGACCATGTATGTACAGTAGGTAAGTATATAATACACACATCTACTATACATTATCATCTCTTGTTTTATATAATAAAAGCATGCAATGATTTTTTTTAAAGATTCCATTTTATTTATTTGAGAGAGAGAAAATGAGAGAGAGCACAAGCAGAGAGAGGGGGAGAAGCAGACTCCCCAGTGAGCAAGGAGCCCTCAGTGGGCTCAATCCCAGGACCCCGGGATCATAATTCGAGCTGAAGGCAGGCACTCAACTGACTGAGCCACCTAGGCGTCCCAAAACATTCAATGATTATAACAAAATTTAGAATATGATTTATCTCAGTAGAACTAAAAGCTCTATAGATATTCACAGTGGTGAGAGATCACATTATTTTGGAAGATTCAAAAAAGCCATATTGAGAAAGTATTTTTTGAGTTGTGATTCAAAGGTAAAATTTGGTCAAATAGAGTAAGAAGGCTGGAGAGGTGAGTTGAGGTATATTCTAAGGACCTTGAAAATCAGTCCAAAGAGTTTATAGAAACTAAATAAAAATGTTCTATTTCACTTTTAAGGACTTTCCTGAGATATTTTTTCTTTTCTGTTTACCTTAGAAAATTTAAAATCTGCAAAAAAGTTGTACAAATGAGGGACATTTGGGTGGCTCAGTTGGTTGGGCCGCTGCCTTCGGCTCAGGTCATGATCCCAGCGTCCTGGGATCGAGTCCTAGGGGATCCTTACCTCGCAGGGAGCCTGCTTCTCCCTCTGCCTCTTACCCATTGCATGGATTTATCATTTTTTGATGGAGGGGGGAGCACATTTGCTTTATCTTTTTATCTCTCTCTTTCTCTAACTCCCTATACACACATACTCACAAACACATGTACAGATGTTTTTCTTTGCTACAAAGAAAGTTATGAGATAAAGTTGTAGATCTACTAACTTCATCTTTAAATAATTCCATTTCTAAATAATGTCTCCTAAGAACAAAGATTTTCCTGTATAACCACAATAGAGTTATGACATTCTTGAGATACTTTCTAAATTTAGAGTATTTATGTTAATACATTAATAATAAATGGTTACTAATTTTAAATGGCTTTTAAACAGTGACTAAGATATTAAGTGCTATAGAAGTATTTGCTTATAAAAACATATTTTCATGGGTGGAAAATTAAAGAATATGAAAATTTTGGCATATGGTGAAGAGTCTTGCATGCTTGTTCCCTGTCCAGTTCCCATTCTGAAGACTCCTTACTGCAGGCAACCATTGTTCTTGATTTTGGGGCATTCTTTTTTTTTTTTTTAAATAAAGATTTTTATTTATTTATTTGACAGAGATCACAAGTAGGCAGAGAGGCAGGCAGAGAGGAAGAGAAGCAGGCTCCCTGCTGAGCAGAGAGCCTGATGTGGGGCTCAATCCCAGGACCCCGAGATCATTACCTGAGCAGAAGGAAGATGCTTTAACCCATTAAGCCGCCCAGGTGCCCCTCTAGAGGTTTTTTATGTAAGTATGAGCAAACGTGAATATAGATTTTTATACCCCTCCCTTTTTAGAGAAAAGGTAGCATTCAAAGCACACTATCCTTACTTGTTTTCTCAGTTAACAGTATGATTTGTAGATATTTCTCCATTAATAGTTACAGAGTGTCATTTTTATTTACAATGATATAATATTCCATTGTGTGAATATAGCATAATTTATTTAAATAGTTTATTCTTGATATACATTTAGGTTGTTTCCAATCATTTAGTATTGAAACCGTGCTACAACACATTTGCATATTTGCATTTGTAAACCTTGCACATATTTGCATTTGTAAAAATTGATTGATACATTGCCCCCCTCA